TTCAAGATTGAGTCACACCGTGCAGAGTCATTTACCAGAGCTGAGAGTTACTCTGGGGTCACCGGCCAAGGCCAAATGAGTTCACCTGGCGGGTCAGTGCAGAGTCAGGCACAGGTGTGATCCCAGCTCGTCCATCCGCACATGCAGATGCAGAGAAGGCGCCCAGGCCACACAACCCAGGTCGGGATAAAGGGCAAGTGCTGTGGGCTGTCGGCGACAGTGACCACCCACTGCTTGTTGTTGTTGTTGTTGTTGAGTTAAAATATTTTAAAAACACATACACGCTTGATTGGCTGGTTAGCAGGTCCCAGGGGAGCCTCCCGTCTCCATCTCTCCCAAACTGAGATTACAAGCGTGTGCTCCCATGCCTGGCTTTGCATGTGGGTGGTGGGGATTGAAGCCAAGTCCTGTGCTTCCAGGGCAAGTGACTGCCATCTGACCTGCTGTGTTGGACAATGCATTCATTTGTGACATTTTACACACACTTGAGAAGCCCACGTCCTTATGCTGCCGGATTTAAAGGGACAGCACCCAGCAGAGCGGTGTCTGGGATTCTCAGCTAGCCTCGTGCTTCTACCAGATAATGAACTCTCTACACTGGACACTTAAGAGAAAGGCCCCTTAGTGTCCTGTTGTGGCCTCCACCCCGGGTTGGAGTAGTGTGGCATTTGAAGGGAGGCTGCAGAGGTGCCCACTTTGAGGATTCAGGGAATTTTTCTAATTTTTCATTATTATTAATTATTAGTATTATTATTATCATTATTGTTATTATTGTGTGGGTATGTGTATGTGTGTGAGGGGCACACACATGCTACACCACATGTGTGGAGCTCAGAGGACAACTCATGGGAGTCAGTTTTCCGCTGCCATCCTGTGGGTTCTGGGGCTTGAACTCAGATTGTCAAGCTTGGCAGCACTTGGCCCCATTCCCAAACTCCGGCCCTTCCTTGCACGCTGGTCCCAACCCCGAGGCTCCAGCCTCTCCCCTAGACACTACCCATACCCTGAGTCCCTCACCATTTTTAAGACTCTTTCTTTTTCAAGACAGGATCTCGTGTATCCTGTGCTGACATAACAGTCATGTGCAGCCGTGTCTGCCTTTTTTTCCTAAGTGGGTGAATGAGACAGTGTCATCCCAAGGAAGGGTCTGAAGCAGCGAATTATCCTTCACAACCCCCGCACTCTGGCTGCACATGCTTGCAGACAGGATTTCTTAGAAGCACAGAACCTGAGAAACGTGCATGTGTACATACACACACACAGACACACACACACGCACACATGCACGCACGCACGCACGCACGCACGCACGCACGCACGCAAGCACGCATGCACACATGCATGCCCTACCCTAAAAACCCTAGAATTTGGGACTGACTTTTAAGCGTATGTTAGATCACTTACCCTCTTCTCTTTCTCCCTCAGTGCTGTGTCCTTACGCAGCTCCAGGCGACTGGGTTCTCTCGTGGTGAAACTGCCCCCCTCTGCCTGTTACATACTGTTGTATACAGTTCAACTGAGAGCCAAGGTTATTGAGAGCATAGGGCTGATGAGGAGCTGGGGAGTATGGTGTATGACTGGATCAAGGAGCGGGGGTTAGCTCGTCTTGATGGGAGGTGTCTCTAAGGGAGCAGTTTTCAGGCCCTAAATATCTGTGGGGAGAAAGCTATGGTGGCTGTTTCCTGTACACACTGTCAGTGACCATGCATGGACCAGAGGAAGGCTTTCCACTCCCATAGGACTGAGACCCCATTCCTTGACTTGACCACGCCCGTGTCAACACACACATTCATCCAGGACTTCACACTCTCAGGGCTTCCTCAACTCCCTACACCTTGGACAAAGAGTCAAGAAGCGCTGCTGTGCTCTAACAAGATAAGTGTATAGTCCTACCCAGCACCTTGCTTCTAGGTACATAGGCCAGGCTTGGCTACACCATATGATGTGGAACCTCCTCTCCAGGCCTGCAAGCCTGTGGAAGTCAGAGGGCGTTCCTTCAGGCCTCTATTATGCTATGCATGGCAGCGGTTTCTCTAATGGTCTCCCACTTTAAAGACCAGTCATGGTTATGGTTCCCCTCCTCTGTCTCCCCACGGTCACTAGGCATTCTCTCCGAATACTCATCCTGAAGGGTAATCCCATGTGCGCTCCTCCTCTGAGCCTGAGGCATCTGACCTGAATTCTTTTCTGAGAAGTATGCCACCTCGGCTCCCCCAGGGGCCTCGGGCACTTTGGTTGCCCGACCAGAGCTGTTTTCTGGCATTGGTGGCATGATCACCTTTTAAAACAAGTTCCACCCACCGCAGACTCTCATCCCACTTATCACAGTTACAGAGTCGCAGGCACACACACACACACACACACACACACACACACACACACACACACACACACCATGCTAAGCCAGCTCCTGATTAGCTATTACTCAGCACTCACGTGGCGGCTTTTGTGTTCCCTATAACTGCATGCTTGTCTGCAGAGAAGCAGAGCATGGTGGGTACAGCGGTCCTGCCCATTCTATGGTTGTGGTTGGAGGAGATTTGGAGCGAGGAGTCTGTCTCAACTGTTAACCAGACCCTCTTAATTTCATAAGCCTTTCCATTTTGGTTGAGTTGCAACGGTTCCAGTAACCACGGTAATTTGGCTTCTAGAAGTAAATTAACTTGTGTCTGTAGATCTTGCGGCCTGCCCCCCAAACTCCCCAGTAGGCAGTAATGGCCACCCAGGGGAGCTGGTTTTTCATCACCCTTCTTTGGCTCCCTACTCCCCGGTTACACCTCGCAGTGGCCCCAAACGCAGGCCCCAAAGGGAAACTTCCCACTCTCTTCCCTGCCCGCCACTTGTGCCCTATATGACGGAACGAAGGAAAGAAGTGAACAGGAAGGAAAGGACGCAACTGCTCCTCGGTCTGGTGGAGGAGAAGCTGTGTTACAGATTTGTGGGAGAGCACAGTCGGAGGCAGGGACACCTGGGAGAGTCCAGAGGGGGCATGAGCAGGCTGAGCTGGGCCATGCGGGGAGGGGGGAGGGGAAGCAAGAGGGGGGAGTGCAGGGGTACCAGGTGCAGCAGCCTGGTGGTCAGGAGGTACCGGAAGGACAGGAAACCAAGATGGCTGGATTCTATAGGGAAGGCCAGCCCAGCCCCTGGGCTTAGAGAGTTCAGGGCAGGGGGTGGGGAATACAATCCAGAAGGACCTATGACAGGCAGAGGCTGAGGGATGCTGGAAGAACCTGGGGGCCAAGTCCACTTTGATAAGTTAAATAGGCACCTCAGCCATTTGTACCCGGTTTGAAACTTAAAAGTTACAAACTCCCATTTGTAAGTAGATGGTGAGCTCTTGGATTCTTACAGACCCTTCTTGGGTCCCCCTCCCCACAACAAAGGTTTGTCTGTACTGTCTGAGTCTTTCATCCCTTGTCTGTCTGTCCTCACTGACCTGGGGTCCCCTGCTCCTTCTTCTCCC